CCATTCAATCATCCCCCATTCAATCATCCCCCCCGGATCCGCCCTTGCTTAGATGATCAGATGGAAACTAAAAATGTCAGCTAAGAACCAAACCTTTAAGGTCTTAGGGATTAGAAGACCAGCAAGAAAATGATAATCGGATAAAACTAAGATTACGAAAACTATTATTACAAAAACTGGAGCAGTTTATGCAAAGCAGAAACAGATACAATCTGTTCTTGCAGAAAAGATTACAAGGAAATGTGAAAGGAAAGTGATGAAATGTCTGATTCAAGATTAATAATCTAAGAACTTGTATGGTTTTCATGACAACTACTGAATCAGTTCGACGATCTGTATTTAAGGTAGGCAATGTGATAAGCAACGACGACAATAAAAAATAAAACATGGTGGAAATATCAAAATAATAGAGAAAAGTAGTATCAATTTTTTCAATTTAAAATGCTTTGAGGGGTCTATTAAGCAAACTCTAACAGTGTCAAATCAAAGTTTTAATAAACCCAGATAGTATTAGAAAACTGTCAGCTTTTCCAACTTTTTAAACGTTGGTTTCATCGAAAGTTTCCCTTGGCCATTTTTCCTTGATGCACGAAAATTTCAAAAAAAATTACATTAAAAGACAACTATTATTAGAACTTCTAAACAAAACTACAATATTTATTAGATGGAAATAATAAGATATGTTTTTGAAAACATTCCCAAAAAAATTATCCGAAGATGGATGGAAAAGATTATAAAAAAGGAATTGTTACGGAATTACAAAAGTCAAATGCTCTAAGGCAAGTTCTTTATAAAAGCTTACTATTCTAACAATACAACTTAAGAACTTAAAAGAGTTTGATTATCCAAACCTGCGGACTTGAAGCGCATTTCAATAAATTACAAAGCTTCCTAAAGAGCATACAAAAAGACTTACATATGTATAACTACTGGAACACTGCTGACCTTGTTAATACTCCAACAGCAAATTTTGGAAAAATTAGGCGGGCAAATTGTAAAACGGGCCGCGGTCAAACTTAATTTTGCGTTTGAATTCCTTTATCTTAAGCTTAGCTTAACAAATCAAAATAGTTCTATGTGATTAACATACTGTATATTACAGCTTAATTAATTAATTATTAATTGCTAATTTATTTGAAAATACGTTAGGCTAAGAATCTTTTAAAGTTCACAATTTATGGATTAGAAAACCTTATTAGAAAATAGATAAAATAGATAAATAGAAAAAAAATGCATTTCAATGAGAAAATGGACTAGTGAGATATTTTCAATCGCTTACGAAATGGTCTTTCGGAAAAGAAACCTTGCTTGGGATTTTTGTATTTCATGGATTTTGATATTGTGTGTTTTTTTGTTTAAATGTGAACAAATTTTAATAAAAGGCGATACCTGAAAATATACGAATACGCTCCTTCGAAAGAGTTTCTTTGGCCAGAAAGCGAAACTAATTTCCGCGATCTTTTTTAAACATTTTTTCTCAGTCGTTTTATAATTGTTTAATTTCTTTAATTTTGTGATATTATTTTAATATGTTTACTTTCAAGCTGCATAAATTCCTACTAAACTGCATAATCAACAATTATTAAAGTTTTCAGTTAATCAATTTTTGCCGAATTGTTTAATTTGAGTGCCTGGATGCAATTTGCTTTGAATATTACATCGCTCTACGAAGAACCATTTTTGAGATTGTTTTCCGAAAAGCAAAAAACAGAGTTCTTTTCATAATCAGTTTCTTCGGAAGTGGATAGCATTGAATTTTTAGCTGATTGATCGGCTTTATTCCCAAACTTCAGATTGTCTCGACATTCTAATGCTGAAAATAAACTCTTAGACACACTATTAATAGCGTAGTATTATATTAGATCAAAGTGAAGAGCAAGAAATGTTGGATTTGGCCAAATTCCTACAAAAATTCAACTAGAAAAATTAAAGAGTTTTCCGAATTGCCATGGATTGGGACAACTCATGAGCCTAAAAACGTTGAAAATCTTGTATTATCACTTCTGCCAATTATTTTTATAACAGAAAAGAAAACTTTTAAAAACACAATAAATTGACATCTTACAGAAATATTTTTTAAATTTTTAGTTGATTTAAATGTTAAAAGTCAATTTAAAATGTGCGTAAAGTGACACTTTTGCAGATGTTTCAGACGTTTTCATGCTTTATTGATTTCTTTGTATCAGAAATGTAATCCAAGGTTCTTGCAACTACTTGCAACTTTATACATAAATGTCTGTGCCTGTAAAGTTTTATTTAAAAAAAGTGTAAGTAGCCATGAAAATTAGAAACTGATACAAACATAAAGCACAATGGTGTTGCCCACATTTCCTGCTTTTCTTCACTTATAATATTGTGAATTCTGCATTGCTTCGCTCGCTCGTAACTGCTGAACAGAAATCGAACATTAAAACAATCAGCCGTTCGGCTGATAAATTCCCTGTGTAATTATTTCGGTCTAATAAATTAATTCCAATTAAGCCAATGGCCAATAAACGAAGTGTTTGTGAGCAAATTAGATCAGTGTCTAGAGTTTTTTAATTTTCGATTTCTCGTCCAAGCGGAAATCGGAGTCAAGTTGAAATTAATTACTTTAAACTTTCGATGATTTATTGGTTGGAAACCTGCTGCTACCACAGGCCTGATGAAGTAATTGCTGTTTATCAAATGGTATTAGCTTGCACCGAATATCGGAGGTCCTTTTCCGGCATAACACAATAGCTGAGTGTCAGATACTGTTATTATGCAATGGCAAGAATACAAATCGTAATCAGACAATTATCGGAGTTTTCCCAACAATCATTGATACCAGAAGTAACATAGCTTACGATAACTATTATTGGGAAGCAAAACTTACGCGATGGTATTTATAAAGGCAATCAAGCTTTACGTAATATTAAATAAAGATTTTCAGTAAATATATGTGGAAAAGTAACGTGTGACTTAAGATGCTATAATGAGTACTTCATGGTCGTGAAATGTAATTATTACAAAATTAGGTTGTTATATTTTAATGTCAATAGCGAACATCCCAGATTGCCTGAAGAACAGATGTCGGTATTGATGTAATACTGTTCACAATGTATTCGGTTTTAGTTTATGTTTAAATGTTGTTTGCTTTAAATCATTACTATAGAAATATTAAAATTATACTTTATTCTGCTAGAATCAGCTAAGGAGAGTGATATAATAAATGCAGAAAAAATCCTGAAAAACTAGTAACAGAGAATATTTCAACTAAAAAATTATATTGTAAGTCCTAATCAAAAGTCAGAAATAAATGTTAAAGTTAAGTTTGTGAGACAAAATTGAAGCCCATTCAAATTGAAAATGTGTCACTGTAAGACTGAGAATACTCCTTAGCGTAAAGCTTTTCATGAAGAAATATTATTTCGGTAAGAACTGCAAAATTACCTGAAAAAGGTAAATTGAGCAAAAACAGAAAATGCGGCAATACCAAACATTGATGAATGCAGGCAAGAACATACATATTGCAGACGCAGACACGAAGAGTTAAATGATTTTAGAAATTGGAAATTGACGATGATTAAAAAAAGTAGACTAATATTTAGCTTACTTTAACTTTATTCGTTAGCTTTATTAATTAGCAATATTCTATAAACTACTAAAAACGGTGAGAAATTAAGAATTGAAGCCTGAAGAGTGAAGTGATTATGAGACATAATTCTGATTAACAGACACACTGACACACTAAACCAGCATTTAACTAGCAGGTTTAAGATGTTGAAGAAACACGCAAAACTGCACTGCGCATGCAGTTAATTTACCGGGTCGGGTATACCAATGATTTAATCTATGGATCAACGACTTACTCATTGTTCATTATTATAATGTTCATATGTTGTAAATTAAAATTATTTAATCATTTATTTCCAATCTTATTGAGATATTCTTTCGTTGGCCGTAATACCTAAATTTCCAGCAACAACCAGAGCAAAAATGTGTAAAATTTAATTGAAGCTTAACCAAAAAAAAACAGAAACGCGATGAAGGACAAAGACCATAAATACTGAGTTTTTAGAACGACAATACGAACTTAATGCAGTTTAAACAATTATATAACACATTCTGCCCTTTCATTATATGAAACTTTTCTGGCCCATATGATATTTTTTTAAGTAAGAAGAAAGCGCAAAGTACGATATATAAAAAATCTCTCATCAAGTACTAAGGTAAAAGTACAATTTTCAAAACCGAATATCAAAATATTTATAATTATTATAAATAAATGCTTTGTTTGAAGAAATCTTAGTTTCAAAGCATGATTCGTCTGTGCTGTTGGATTATATGATCTTTTTAAAATCACACTTGATCGCACTATAATAACAGCAATATATTCGCATAATTTTCATGCAAACACTCTGTATTTTGTAGTGAGAGTCAAAAGACCAAGTAATACAACAGTATTATCCAATAAATGAATTTAAGTAGCTTGACATGGGCTTGAAATATATGATATAGACAAAATAAACATCTTTATAAAAAACCAAACATTTTCATTATCCCATCCTGTTGATCTAAAAGTGTTTTGTTGGTAGGAAAAGTAGAAGAAAAAGAACGATGTTGACTATTTTATATTAATTATAGACTGGTAAGCTTCATGACGGAACGAAATTTAAAATTCCTTCCAGACTTAGAAGCGTACGTTTTACACTTTCGCTCCTCATATAAGAAGATTGAGAATGTTACAAATTAGTAAGTAAAATGTGCGGCAGGGCAGTTATTCTTGATGAATTTATTGAGTTGTTTGGATTCTTTTGGGACTGCTTCGCAGTTTTGCCTTTCAACCATGAGGTATTTGATTTCTTGTGCTATCAACTCTTGTTTTTTGTATAATACAGAAACCTATTATATCAAATATAATATAGCCGATGTATTCCTCTTAGATCTTTGTTATTTTCATTTTTAAAGCGTTCCATGCTCCTTAAACGTCTCCATTCTGTATTGGATGTATTATCGTTTCCAATTAACTTACGACTTGTTTATTTTTTTCTTATGCGGATTTTCAGTTGAGCAATGCTTATTTTTCTTGCTTTACTTTATTTTTCGACCTTGCGGTATCTATTGAGTTGTGATTGTGGTGGCTATATCTAGATGTTTGCTTCAGGGTAAATTTTTACGGAGTTTTTGGTAAACTATTTGTTATTTATTGAACAATAAGAGCACTCTTCATCATTCTGTAATAGAGGACCCGAGAAAATTCTGTCTGTTTCAGCGAAAAAAAAATTGAGGCGAAATACCGAACAAAAAAGTTTTTAAACCTTTAATAAAGCCTCAGACAATCAAACATAAAAAACCAACCAACAAAAAATAAACACTATCCAATTTTAACTTAAGGGGTGTGTGATGTTATTATAAAATGAGCAGAAGGTTCATTTGACTTTAAAGGCCAGTTACATGACTTTATTCAGAATATTGCGCTAAATTTCCTGAGAATTAACCCGCTTCCGCACAATTCATTAATTCCACACTTGATTAAAAACGAATGCAAACTAAATTTTGTATTTTTTTTTAAATAAATGCACATCAAACGGCGCATTTCTTCGTTTAAAATTTGAACACTACAAAATTATTATAAATTGCGTTAACAACTGGCATGACAACATCAGAGGCCGAACGATGTTTCTGAACCCCAGACTCAAACATTCCATGATGGAGGACCGTTTAACAGCTCTTTCCCTTTCCTATTGAAAATCATCTTAACATTTTACCAACAGCCTTTTTTTATTTTGAACTAGTTACTATCTATCTGGAACAGTTTTTGTATTTCAACAAATTTAAAATTTGTCCTTAGTGTTATTTAAATAATACAAACTTGTTTTTGGTTGCTCAACGCTTTTTTAATAGACGATATTGAAAGTTTATCAGATAAAGTTACGCACCTTAGTATTAAAATTAATTTTAGATCCCGAAATTGTATATTTCCAAACAATCATAAAAGCTTTAATCTGAAGGATTCCTTACATTGACCAACACTTGCTGGTCTTCATTCAGATCAATGGGCTTATTTCAACTGTTACGGCAATTGAATGAGACAAAATAACGAAATTTGGCTTTTAACGTGGAACATTAATTAAACAATTTTATTAAAGAAAAATTGTTCACCATTAATTAATTCCTAATTCTTTTGATTGCAATGTCTAGTTAAAAGTCAAATTTCGTAAACAGTAATTGTTATGTGTAACTCAATTGCTGAAAGAGTTGAAATGTAATTGTTAATTCCGACATGTAATAGTCGTTGCTGGGCAGATTAAAGTTCAGAAATCTTTCATGTCGGACGTATGAAAATTATCACCAAAACCCTGCTGGTTCAACATCAAAACCGCTTCATGAGTAATTATGTTCACACAAAATATAATAAAATAAGAATAAAATAATTTCAAAAAAGTTGAGAGCGCTTGCAGAATTACTAATGAAAATTCAAGGCATCTGCTTCAAAAATTATAATACAATACGAACGGATCTTTCTTTACTTGTGCTTCTAATTTGTGGCTAAAGCACCGAAGGTCATGGCCATGACGATTTAAGGCTGTTTTGATGTATTGTCTATTAATTCAAAATTGCAAAAAGTATTAAAATGTAAATCAGGGTATTTCCAGCATACTTAGCATTAGACTTTCAGCTATAATACAAAAAATAAATAAGGATGATTGCTTCATCAATTTTCTCCACCCGAGCAGATACAATTTGCAATTGTATCCTAAGGCAAATCCACTTAAACCAACTGCGATAATGTGTGCGAAAAGTATTAGAAGCTCAAGCTAATTCGTTATTATAACAAAATAACATTAGCAGTTACTGAGATAAAAAAATCGACAATACAATTTGAGTTAATTATTAAATCTTGCTCGTACGAAAATTAATTTAAATGTTTTAGGGCAATGTCAACTTAGTCTACTTTGAGTTTGAAATACCTACTCAAAAGTCCGACAATGTCCAACTAAATGATTGGAGAAAAACCTAAGTGGCACACGGATTTCCAAAGGGAAATTGAGAAAAAGTGCTTACCGGCTAACTGAATAAACCTGTTCCTTGCTTCGGCTCTTCCCCCTTAATGTGGTAAGCCCTAAAGCAGCCAGTGGATCATCAGTGATTGTATTGGGATCAGGAGGGCCTGGTGGAATTTTTGGGCGTTCGCCCACCCATCGGGTCATTTTGGGCAAAGTGACGTTGACGAACAAAAACTTCTAGATTTCTTGCCGGAAGAATGAGTGTGAAGGGTGTCTTGTTTCATTGTACTTTGGAGAACCTGAATAAAATAAGAACATTTGCATTACTCATCACATGAACCTTCTAAATCGAGGACAAAAAAGTATGAAATTATAACGTTAACAATCCTAACAGATATCAACTATTGTAAATGAATTCTCGTAAAAATTTCTATTGAAATTTTGTCTATTAGTATAATGGATCGATTTTTTCAATAACAAGTTAATTAGACAGCCCTTGACCTCTGCAGTGCAGGACTTCTGACACTGAAAAGTTACAAATAACGAGGTCGTACCATTAAACCATTATGAGAACATTTGACACCGAAATATTGTTCAAACTCCAATTCGCATCATTTCTATTTTTAAATTCAGGCCTAGTGATGTCTCGTTCCTTTCTAATCGCCATACGGGAAAATCTTCAGCAGACATTATAGTTATAAATCGTTTTTTTCAGATTTAACCAATTAGCATGTAATTTGGAAGTGTTGCATGGTACACGCAAACAATTGCAAAAGAAATATTTCGCTGCTTTGATAATAATTTGCATATAACATTCAGTAGACTGTGTTTATGCTTGTTGTCGTATTCCATTTAGAAGATGTATTCTCCGTTCTGTTTGTATTACTCTCTAATTAATAGTTATTCTGCGGTTTTCGCTTAAAAGCTTTCGAAAAGTTTCTTTTTTTTTCTTTTTACTAAGACATGAAAAACGAATAGAAGGATTTTGGAAATAAATTATAAGAATTGCTTAAACAGTAAAATGCCGCACGACTACATAACAACACAATGCTGCTATTTTCATTGTCCAACTACTTCTTTTCGTTTCATCTATTCTAAGTGTAATTTCACATAAAAGTGTTTGGTTTATGTGTCTTCAGAACTCAAATTCAAGTCGATATTTTAATAATTTATAGAATAAGTGGTTTCTAGTTAGAAAAAAAATTGTAATGAAAAAAGAATGTCTAGTTTTAGCCCAGTTCACCATCATTTGTCAATAAAACAGAAACAAAAACCATGTTTATCAAACAAACTGATAGTTGAAATGATTAGTATTTATAATCATTTGTATGCAAGAAATCTTGAGACTCAAATACAATCAACAAATTACATTCTGGCTTAAAAAATTATTTCAAGCTTATTAATTAACTTCCAAATAATAACTCCGAAGAATTTGTGTCAAAATAAATATATTTTGTTAAACTAAATACATCAAATACGTGTGTCAAAAACTAATGTTTCACTTTGGAAAAACCAAACCCAAGAGTGTTAAAATTAGATTAACACTTTTAAAGCAAATTCGCGTGTGTTCAAGTTCATTGTCTTCCACTTGATGGTATTCCTTGCATAATTTGATCGTTTTGCTATCACCAGATCGTTTTTCGTATATCTTCCACCGATTTTTAATGCGCCTTTCACATGACATCGCATTAGTTAGAAGCGTGAGAACAATGAACAAACAGACAACAGGAAATGATATTCGAAGTAATATAAAGTACAGAATACGGTAGATGTTGCAATAAGCATTGTTTGATTAATTAATTCATTGTTATAAAAAAAATGTTTTTTATACCAATCCTTTATTGTAGCATTGAATTGTTTAAGAGCTACACTATTAGGCAGATTGGCTAGTTGAGTGAAGAAGCGAAACGAAAGGAAACGAATCGAAATATTAGCTGTTGCTAAAATGCTCTTGCAACGAACAAATAAACAAACACACTCCCTATTTTGTGCGTTTTTCCTGGAGAATTTACTTGAGAACTCTGAGGATTTAGAATAGTTTGAGAAACCAAAACTTTTAGAAGTAAATTTTAATGATTCATGATAAAATGTCGAAGCTCGGGCCTGGAAAAAGCTTGATTTTAAGTTAAAAATTCAGAGGACAACTGCATCATGAACGTAAAGAAAAACAACTTAAAGCTTTAAATTTAAATAAGCAGCAATATAATGTTAGAAAGCTGAGAAAGTGTCAAAAAATATAGAGGCAAAAGTAGATTCGGGTTCCACGAAATTAACTGGTTAGTTTCAAATGTAATTAATTTTACAAAGTCGCTTGTTAACAAACGGTTTCATCTAATTGACTTTAAAAAAAACTGCTCATTTATGTTGAACAATATTTAGCGCAATAGAAACATTTTCTGGAAACAAAAAAGCTCCAATCTGAAATATCGTATTAATTAGTTTAGCTGCATGAACATTTTTAAATATGTATTAAGCTTACTAAAGGAACAGAATAGCGTCTATCTTTCCAAACCGAAACAGGTTTAAAGTATTATCCTCCTATGCTTTTTACGAACTTTAGTCTTCGGAAGAAAAAAATGTTAGGAAAGAAAACAGCAATTTCCCCTATTTTTTCTCGTAACCTACTAAGAAATGAGGTCATATTTCTCCATCTTGTGGACCATGATTCATACATGGCCGTTGCGACCAACATTAAAAAATTATTTTCTATGTAAATTTTAGTTTTGTTCGCTTCAAACAATTTCGAGAAAGCAATTGCGTCCCATTGCTCTCATGGAATATTGTTTTGGTTATTTTAAACACCTGCAAATACAGACCATTTCGTATACCATGACAATAATTGTCTAAAAAATGCTCTTATATCATTCTTATCCGATTATGCCATTGATCTAAGACAATAGAGCAATAAAAATGTACGTGCACATAACTCTTGCGATGATTACGTTGTGCATATTCACGTAGATACCTGTTTTGCACAACTTTTACCAGAAGTTTTTCGTGTCGTTATCTTCCCCATGATTATTTAATTACTAAATACCCATGTCCAATTCTGTGTCATGAACAAATCGCATAATGTTTGTGTTGGCCCATACAGCCCAATCGCTTAAAGATTGGTATTGTGGATTTCTGTTTACACTTTCTACCATTAAGCCACAAAATGTGCAGTACTTTTCGCAGCACAACATTGTAATTGAAAAATGTATGAAATGAGCCAACAGTGCAATAAAAAGATGTGTTTTCTAGTGTTGAAATACAAATATGTTCCGGTGCAAAGTATAACCATTATACTTTCTAACGAGTTGCCGATTTCGACTGTCGGTGATTTCTATGGCAAACTTAATCAATCTGATTAGAACCGTAAAAAAGCCTGTTTTGCTTGATCTATGGAAATTACTAAAATTATAATGATACGTTTAATGTGACACAAATTGGTACTCTATTGATATATCTTGCCCGTATCTTTGCGCCTTATTTCGTCACGCTCTTTCGCAAATATGGATTGCAAACAACCGAACAAATACGTAGCAGATAATGTGTGTATGCAATATATTGCAGTTCAACTGCAAAAATTCGACTGATTAGAATTTTAGATTGATTTTGCTGCTAATCCTGAACTAGCATAAAGTATGTGTTCAGTGCAATGGAAAAAAACTATCCAAAATTGCTTGCTTAATTTGAAAATTTCAAGATTTCAGTCGGCAATATGTATGACTAACTCTCAATATTGTTGGGCATTGTTTAAACAATAAGCAGTAATTGGGAAATATTTTTAACTTTCAATGCGCTTATGATTGGCAGCGAAAAGATATGGATCAGTATTGTGCCTATTCCAAATTATTTTATTCACCTTCAGCAGACATCAGGTATATTTTTAGTAGTAGCAGAATAAAATAATTTAAATACAAGTTCTTGGTTTTTTCGAGCAATACTAGAATTTGATTAAAATTCAGCCCGAAATAAAATTAGTGAAAGCAAGTAGGAAAAATGTGAAGTTACAAAAACCAGAAAAATTGACCTCATGCAAGTAATTACGATTTTAAAAAATTATTGTAAATAATTTTGAGATTATTGACTCTAAAATATCAGTTTCTTGATTAGTTCATCGATCATCAACTATTTTTCAGTTCAATTATTTTTTTAAGTTTTAATTTTTAAAGAAATTTAGAGCATTTCATCTTCAGTTGCTTTTTGTCCTTTATAAGCTGTATCAAGTGTGTTCAACAGTCAACTAAGTACATTGATAAGTAAAATCATAGAGTAGCAGAAAGAATGCAAGAATATATCAAGTACTCTAAATTAAAACCAGTTGAAGCTTACACTGCATCTAACAGCGAATAATTATCGTTCGCAATGTAATTTTTCAAGGAAATCTTTCGAAATGTTGCCTTTAAATGCACATATTTCGAAACAAGTTGCGTGTATGGAGTGTCCGAACAACAGAAAATCGCCTAACAATTTATTATACAAATAATCCCCATTTGAACTTAAACTAAAATAACCATTAAAATGTTTACAAAATTTAATTCTGATACATTAAATATATCGCAAATTTTACGTCGTAGGAAATTAATTTTGGGCGTTGTATCCCAATTTTGATAAGTCCTGTATAGACAAGCATAAAAACACACACTTCCATGATATTTCCGGATAGGCAATAGACATTTTTCCATATAAAAACGTGGCGAGATTTGCAGGCATATGAGTAATACTTTACATCCAAAACTAAGCAAATTCTGAATTTTTATTCTATTTGTGATAGTTGCATCATTTTCGCTCTCAATAATACAACTACTAATCTCATCTACATCTTTTTCCAATTAGCACAGATAATATACATTTATTAAGGTAGAAAGTGATATGATGTGAACTATGGTACAATTAAAGGCGAAACGAACCGAAACCATTCACCTAGGAGAAAGAAATGATGAGTTCATAGATGAAGACAAGGATGAGTACAAAATGAAAACTGATTGGCAAAGTTATATAAATAAACCTTCATTCAAATGAGAGAAATTTGCAGTCGTTAAAATTCAATATTTTTAAGGCCTGCGACTTCGGGCTAATTCTGTGCCATCAAGCGCAATTTTTCAAAATACGCGCAATGTTTATCACTCAATAATTAATAAAAAATTATTAAAGAAATATTCATCTATTAACCTATTTAGACCCGGATTCAACTATCAACAACCTAAGATAAATCTACCCACATTTCACTAGTCAAATTACATAATATCAAAGATATTTGCCGCGTTGTGGGTGCATGCGAATCCTTAGATGGATTTTCGCTTTGTCGCAGCAAGTAACGTGATTTTGATCTTGAATGTTGTAATTAAGATTTAAAATTGAGAAGAAAAAACGACCCAATTATGTCAGTCATAACAGCCAAATAAAAAAACAAATTTGCAAAATATTTGCGTTTAGAAATATTAATTTACTTGGTCGAACGTTTCCACAAAAAGCTGTCGGTTGAGAATCAAATAAATTGGTTCCTTTTACGCACTTGATTATGGCTTATTATTATTTCCAATGAATAATGAACCCATAACCAACCTGTCCGTACCCAATCAGTAATCAACAGCTTTCATTTACAATATATTATAATACCCAAACAATTATAAAACAACATGAACATTATGAAAGTTTGCCTACAATGTGCATATTTATAAATAAAGTCCTGTATGGTTCCCAGCTTTTAATAAACAAATTATAACACTTAAATGCCCAGCCGTTATTTTGCGATTAATAATTTAATAAACTAAAAACTTTAATTTTTAATTAATAATTTGAAATAAAAAAGCAACAAATGTATTTAATTATTTCGCGAACTTCTAAAAATATCTAATATTGTTCAATTCGGCAATTTTCAGTTTTTGCATACCAACCATTTTTTAGACCAAACATGATTTTGTACAAAAAAGGTCTTAACACATCAGGCCGGAGGGCCTTAAGCAGACATTTTCGGACATTTCTTTCATGCCGTGAACATTCCGTACAAGTTTGATCCCATAGTGCTTTGCCCCAATTTTTAAATATTAAGCTACAGCATATAGATATAATAAAAATAAAGGAGTCAAACATTGTTTCGTTTGGTTTTGAGTGTAACAGCTTCCAATATTAAGATTTGAATAAATCGTTTAAAAATAATCACATTTATTTGCATCGCTTTAACTAATTTAGGAACAGAATGTGAGCAAATTTTATTTGGACGATTTTCTAAATTTAATAAATGCAATTTCTATAGCAAAGAAATTGAGGTAAAATGTGCATTAAACATCTTAATAAGGTGCCTAAAATTGAAATAACCAATAATTATAAATATTCGAATTAATATAGTCTTCCTAATTAATTTAAATTAGCCTCCTACACGCATCGTGCCATTTACTGATCACCTCTACAAATAATTGCACATAATTGGAAACCACATCAATCATAATATGCAGTTTTTCCAATTCACCTTGCCAGTATCCTAAACCATCGCTTTGAAACTTATGATTACTACAAGCAACTTATTAAAAGAACCGTCACAATTGTGAAATTCGTTTAAAAGACCGGTCGGAAGCATAGCTTCTTTGTTCGGCTGCTATGAAGTAACTCGTTCCACTTCGTTTGGCCAAAAGAGCATAAAAAACGCTTAAACTTCTACTCGTATAATTAAGTTGCCGATACCAAATCGCCTAAGACGATAATTGTGTTTAATTTAAGTTACTTCGAACTAGAACTGACCAACGCGAGACAAGAGCGAGAGTATCGTAGACCATTCGACCAAATTGATCTACTCAACTAACTCCAAGTTGCCATACTTTGACAATCTGAGTTTTCCCGAATGAGGGTCTTCAAAAAAAATTGACAAAAATTACCTAAGTTTTGTCAGAATCCTCTATGTGCTCCCCTGCAAATTTTATACGATCAACAAACTCGAAGTCTTCGAAACGACTAATGAGAAAAGACATGGAGCTCAGAAGAAAGATTGTTTATCTTTTTCGAATTTCTTTACCTGATCATGAAAGCAAATATTTAACAAAACGCAGAAAAAAATTTGCCCCAAAAACATCAAGAACCGGACCAATCTTGATGTCCTTAAACATACCTGTCGAATATTTAGAGGCGCACAGAATCTAGAAGATTTGGCCGTCGTTGCATAAGAATGAACATCATTTAGTATCAACGTCTCGCACTCTTATCAAATCAAAAATCCGTTATTTCAAAAGCTATGAATTAAAGATCAGAGGTCTCCTACAAAAAAGGTCTTTATTGCATTTGTATATGATTGGCATAAAAATGTTATTGATAAAGTTCCCTTATTAGCATTGCTAAAAAGCAGACGCTGAATATTTCATTATCAGTCACCACTGATATTGAATTTATTAGTTTGCTTCAATCTCCGGTAGATTAAAGTGGGTAAATCCGATCTTCCACCCTCGCCTGCCAATCAGGATGACCAATGAAGATTTGCAATGCAAATTTAGTCCAACATTCAGCTTGGAATAAGATTTTCCAAGGTTCCAAAACAATATGCATACTATTTACATATTGATCAGGTCGAAAAATGTACGATCTATTGTTTTTATCTATTCGATTAAATCATTTTTTGTATTTTTGTCATTTCCGAAAGGTCGTTTCGATAAATATCAACTACAAACCAATAAGCTGGGGATATACATATATATACAGAGTGATCCAATAAAAACCGCCACATGTCAGATCCAATCTTAGAAATAATATTATTGAAGATGCTGGACCAAGATTTACCGATGATTTTCATATAAGCCAGGCTTTAAGGCCTCTCAAGGCCAAGTTTCTCAAATATTTTGAACAGTATGGACAGTAAGCTTTTTTTAATTTATTTATCATATTTTCTATAAGACTTGATCTGTTCTCTAGGCTTTAGAGTCACTATAATTTGTGCAATTTTCCATAATTTTGAGAAGCAAATAATTCTAGCATCGCCATTGTATATTTGGGTAATGATTTGTTACTTCCTGAAAGACTTTCTTTTGGCCTCTTAAAACTCTTTTATAATTCTATATCCTTTAATTTTGATTTTTCGTCTCTTATATTGAATATTGTGTTAGGTTGAAGTTGTTTGTTTTAAGGATGCCTGGCAAATACATCTGCCAGCTTTTTATCAGTTCTGACCTATTTATTGTTTTGAATATGATTTTGCATACAAAAGATGTGGACAATAAAATGATTGGAGTTTGATTCTATGCATATTTCAACAGTGATTGTGCTTAAATTTTCTCGATAGAACCAGTTAACTTAACTTAACAGGAAAACCGTAATTAACAGTAGAAAAATGCAACTGAACAATTTTTCTGGATACTCCTGTATTCGATTTGCAATATTCATCTTTTGTTGCTCCTAATTAATATAATTTAAATAACGTATAACAACCGTTTAATAGCTTTTAAGCTCAATATTCAAATAATATGTTTCACTACTAAACATTTTGCGAAAACTTTGCAAAACTTAATAGAAGATTGGAAGTGCAGACACGCCTGGGATCAGTAAAGGTGTGGCAAGTGATGTAGCCACTTTTACCAAAGTCGGATTTGTAATAAGAAATTTGTTTTCTAACAAGCTCCAATTTACTAAATTTGAATTGAAGAGAATAGAAGATATGGATAAATAAGTAGACTGAAATATGTGCGTTATTTGGGCCTAACTTTMTTTGCTATCGTGTAGGTTACCGACGTTTCGTCTCGATTTATTCAAATTAAATTTTATGTGTTTGCAAATTGTGACAAAACTGTTTAAATTTKTAACTGTGAAACTACCTGAACTCCAAACACTCTAATTATAGAACTGGGTATAAAACTTTTYGTGTGCCYCTGCAGATCATTAGGTTTCATAATGAACAATTTCTGAATCAAAAAATGAGCTCTTTAACTAACATTTTTTAAAACGGTTCCTGCTGCTTTCAGTGGTTGGCAACATTTTTCCGCAATTCTGATCGAGTTTAATAATATCGAAATTGATGACCTGTAAAATAAATTTTAATTMTAGACTAACTAAATCTAAGGGTTGCTAACAAAAATATGTKGCTCATGTTAAAGCTTAGGGAACCCAAAAAAATTGAGTGAACRGGTGAATAAATTCCCGTTTAAAGGCTAAACGTGAAGGGGCAATTAATTCTAGAATTTAGGATGTTATTTGTGGTCTTATTTCGTGTCAATTGCAGTTAAGAAATATGCAAATGCAAACGTTTCCCAACCGCACTAAGAGTGAAATATTGGCTGCTTACCTTCCGCTCTACTTCCAAGATATAACCGGCAGATAAATATCCTGATATAATGAAGCCATGGTTTTCCAACACAAGAGATTAACTGAGAAAAGGCAGAAATTTGGAGACAATTTTCACAAGCAAAAAAAAATTAACTTCGCGATCTTTTTTCGGAAAAGGTACCTAACGGGCGAAGGAACCGTCCTTCCGCCGCGAACGAAACTGAAAGTACCACCGGAGCGTGGTCGATGGCCCGATACTGGTGCGATGCATCTGCAGGAGACGCCTGGCCTGGACTTGGAGAAGGGATTCGAAGAGCTAATTTTAGAGTAAACTTGCAAAAAACAACCATTTCGGGTCCAAATCATTTAACAATGCTTGATGATTCCTAATCGGTTAGAAATTTTTTTTTTATTTAAATATTTGGCGCTTTGAGGGCGGTTTGAGGGTGCAAAACTACGAAATCGGTTAAACTGGACAAATTTGAAGAATCTCACTTGAACTTAGAAAAGTGGGCAAACGAAAAATAAGAAACAACGTAAACATTTCGTGCAGAAACATGTGCAGAAAACACCTAACTTAAATTTTTGAAGGATTACCCTGCTCTAATTTCACTAAAGGAAAATTCTCATCAAGTTCCAAATTGATTTAGTAACTTAATTTCGTTGGAAGGTCGCTTCGTCACGATATCTTAGTCATATACAGGTACCAGTCTAGTTTTGAGTACCCGTCGAAATTGCCATTCTTGTAACAATGCCATCATTTTTCATCATAGATCGAAAGTAGGGCAAAGAGCGAAATATTAACGATAGGTCGGGAATTTTGCACAAACACCGCGAAAAACACGAATCAAATCACTTTTTTTTGTAATCTCTGCTCATTTTTAGTGATTTGCGAAATGTTACTGAGAGCTAATATTGAAGCCCTGTAAAATATGTATTTAAAATAAATTATAACGTAGTTTTAATTTTGCGTAACTCCATGAAAAGCTTTAAGAAAAACTCGCTCTTGCTGAAAGTTGATATCAAAAATTACCATTTGCTGTCGTTTTAAGACAATATAATGCTGCATAAAACTGTAGAAAGATAATTCGATTATCTTCAAAGCAAATCTGCATTTCGGCCAGACGTTTTCACAACAATTTGTACTCTATTTAAAAATAAACAGTAAAATAGGAAATCTGATCCATAAGGCTGGAGGTCATTCGAGACAATGCCCAAAAAAAGTTTAGTAATTGTCTCGGTTATTGCATGCTGCAAATGGGAGGTCATTTTGGACATAAAATTTACGTTTTGCTGTCTTACTAATGGTAAATAGCGGAAAGAAACCACTAAATCTTTTAAAATTGAATAATGCAAACACAGCTCATTGTAGGTGTTAGATATTTTACTTAAAATTTGTGCAGAATTTTAATTAAACTGCAAAGACATGGCAGTTATATAACAGTTAGTTTTTGCGAGTTTGCCTCATTTGACTTTCAAGTAGCGCGCTCTATAGCACTGTTTCTAGTCATTTATACTGTCTTAAGTGCGATGTTTAATATAAAGTTTTTTTTTTGCTTAAATGTAATGAGTTAATAAAGGACTATCGTTACACAGTTCTGTTAAATAATTAACAGGTTAGTGTGCGATATGAGAAAACTTTAGTAAATTTAAATGGAAACATCAGGGACAAACTAACGCTAATACCAAATCCATGTCTTTTACATTAATCCCACAAACAAAGGAAAAAACAGCAAAAAATTCGGTTCTAGAAAAAATTTAAGTGTTTCTTAAATTAATTTTATCATTTTTGAATGAAAACTCCCCATTATGGTCAAAAAAGAAGAAAGTCATCAGAAAATAATGCTTTTTGCGTTTTTGATTAAAAACTTTTAGTTTTGTGATCGGGTTTTGAGAAAACCTTAATAGTTTTCGGGGAAAAACGAACTAAATTTATTTTAGTTTTTGTCCTGAATTCAAAGCTATAATCATATCTTGTAACTTTTTGCGTAAAATACATTCAGATCGTCAGTATTTTTAAGTAAAAAAAAATTTTGTTTCTGAGTAGAAAGCAAAGCAAAAAAAATCAGTCAAAACTAAAAAACCACATTTTTTAAACAAGCTCTACAGTCTTCAGCGGAATGTAAGTGACGAGTTTTCCAAATAATTTATTATAAACTTTCGCTTATTCAGTTCGTTTTTTGATAGAAAATTATTTGATTTTTGTCCCAAATTCGAAGCTGGAAAGGGATTTGGAAACTTTTTGCAATGGGACGAAAGAGCCGAGTATTCCAATAAAAATTGTTAAGTTTGAGTTTGAGTTGAGATTGTTAAGTTTGCTGTGTGTTTTCTAAGCTCTTGCATATCTTTCCATCTAAGAAACTCGTCAATGCATTTTAGAACTTTTAAATACATTTTTATCAAAAATCGCTTCAAAAAACCATAATTTTGAGTCATTTGTTTATCTAACGTGTCTATTCCTAAGTTTGTTGAATTTGTCGCTTCACACGGATAACAATGAAGCAGGATTGAGGCAATTTGAGTTATGAAGATGTCTGCTGTCGCCATTTGCTCGGGAATTCAGAAAAAAGCTCTTAAATAATTCCACAGCGTTCCAATTAAAACTTTTGCTTTGAAATGTCCAGCCAATTCCCTTAAGATTACACCCTTTAAACTGCAAAAATTAAACCAGTATCCTCAATATAAATTTAAAAAAACATTTATTGCAGGTCAACTTGTTGATTTTAACTAATTGAATTATGTCTGTCTTATTTAAATTTGTTACTAACACGAAAAAACCCACAATCAAGATCAAAAAAGTGTGCGGAATTTCAAGACAAATAATATATGTGAAAGTTCCTTATATGAAAAACAACCCACAATACGGAGTCTTGATCCGCAGAAAAACTTTCTTTTTAAATCATCAATTGGCTGGTAGGTGTAGGTTTATCTTCAATCGATTACTATATAAAAAATTAATTGAGTGGATTTTATCCGTTTAGAACATACGTTACGGTTTTTATAGTGATGTCATGTCGCTTACATAAGATCCACTTCAAAGATCTATATATGATGGTTTGGCAAACTTTGGTTTCAATTAAGAAGATTGCTTCCTACCAAAAAAAAACCTAAACAATTATTGTAATCGAATAAATAATTGATTTTGTGCGATCAAAAAAAGTTTTTCTTTGAGATGAGCAAGCGATAAAAGCTTTGATAGTTTAGGCCCGAAGGTCTAAAAGTTCTGTGTTGAAATAGAAAAGTAAACTTTTGATATACTGGGCACCGGCCATGGTCCAAGTGCAAAATATGCAGATTCGCTTAGATAAATATGTGTTTAATAAAAATATAGAAGTCGGAACAATGATTTTAACCGGTTGGGCAATTTTTGCCTCAATATTTAATATACCGGACGATGATGTGGCCTTATGCCTATCCTTAACATAGTCACCAAATGGACCATAACGGCCAGTTAAGATGGTCATAGGATGTCGCATGTCGTAATTGGCAGTTATGCGTGGCTTGAGCCGCAAGATCATTGTTTCTGTCTAATTATGGTCCGGTTTACATGTATATCATTTGCAATAATATCGATTTAACGACCACGTTTGACTCAAAAAACCAAGGTTTGCGGATAACGCCACTTCAATTAAAAATCGAGACATGCAATTTTATCTTAATGATCGGGTTGTTTTTCAAATGTAACTCGGGGTAAAAAGTTCTCAATAATTGGGCAGCATGGCTTAATGTACTCCAGTCCTTTTAATGTCTGTTTCCTTAATCTTAGCTGCAAAAGTGAAAATTCCCGGTGGATAAGTTTAGTTTACGTTCGTTTGCGCCAAGCACAAATGCTATAAAATAAGTTTAAAATAGAATGCATTTGGAATATGATAGCAGTGCGTCTAAGTTGGCTTATATTGTACATTAAACAATAGCTTTAAATGTATATTTATATTTAAAATGCAACTAACGAATGGTCACAAATTGGATTAAGGAATGAAAGATAAATATTAAGTATGTGGCGGCGGTATGTAGACACATCCAAGAATCGCAACTGATTTACGAATTCGCCTTTATAAGGCTATCGGAACCGAAGAATCGAAATCGGAATGTATAATTTTAAATAAGAAGAAAAATAAGGAATGTTTATTGTTTCAATTGAATAAATTATTGTTTTTATAGTTCGTGAACAAATAATGCAAAACATTTATTTTTATGAACTATTTTTTGTAGGTGTTCTTCCTTCACTGATTCAAGGTTTTAAAAAAATGTACATGATTCTCTTGTAGCTCAGTTGTGGCAAATATAGTCAAAAAGTGCTTACAGAAGACTCATATAGCCGATAATGCCAATTATATTACAAAATTAAGGACTAATCATAAATTAACGATTAAAGAAGCGCAAGTAGAAATGAGTCATTAATTAGTCATTAAGATGTTCTCTCATTGTACTATTTTGTGAATAAGCAAGAGGAATTCTAAAACAAGCAAGAAAATTGGCGCAGTCGGTAGAATCTTTTTGAACTTTTTGGAAAGCCATTTTGATTTTGAAATCCGTGAATTGCTACACATCAAAGCAGAAAAATTATAGTGGAGCCTCCTGTTCGAAAAGTCAGAAGAAGGTTGAAAAGAAAAGAAACACGACACAAAAAACGCATATTTTGTACCATGGAATCATATTTAGAACCTGCGTTTATAACGTAGAAATGCGATTCAAAAGCTTCTCTCATACACTGAGTTTTGCAGTCGCAAAAGAAATGCGCTTTTCCTCAAATAGATAAATTTACTTCAAATTTCAAATAGTTTTATAAATAACCATTTTTAAAATTGAATTATTCAAAAATCTTTTACAAATCGTCCAAATATCTCTTAAGGAAATAGAACCGTAGAAATAAGTTCAACGATAATCAGAAAAAATACAAATGCCCTGAAGCTATGTCAGGAGTAAGCACAATTAATAAAAATATATATTTTCCATCTTATGCACTTCTATAGCGAAATCATTAGTCTTGTGCCTTTTTTATTTTACTTTTAGACAATTTATACGAAAAAACAAATAAGTTTGAATTTTGAAATATTATTTGCTTTAACCGTTGCATTAGTCGCTGCAACTTAAAACTAGAAGGCTCTAATTTTTAGCTGTCGCAAATCTTTGCTAGTATATTTTTTTTATTTAAATTAGATTCGAATTAATTGGACCTTGTTTTTCTGAAAACTCGACATTCTAAAAATCTGGTATTTTAACTCTTTAAATTTGCCTGAAAAAAGAAAATGGGGTATTTTCGAGAAAATTGTTGATT